CTACCCCATTTCTTTCCGTGGATGAGGCGTCAGAGGGAAATTAAAACAGAAGATGGACAGCACCATTTAATCAGTGGTAGAGCCACGCGGCAGCTTTTGATGTCGCACGGATGGGCCGGTTCGAACCGAAGTGGTACCACGACCTCACAGAAAACCAGCGTGAAGTAGAGGTTTACCTCTGCGTTTCGCTTGGTGAGTGCAGGTGGCTAGAGGCCCTTTTTTTCTGGAAATGAGGCATTCCATCTTAGTCCTCACGGGTGACAACGCATCTACGTTTTGATTTGTAATGGAGGATAGATGTAGATGTCTATATGCCGCAGCAACCACTTACCATCAAGTGGACTGTGTGCGCGTTTGTCACCCTTATCCTATATAATAAAAAAAAATATCTTTCTGATAATAACAATTCAAAATAATAAAAAAACTGCACTTGTCAACTCGCCTGTCAAACGTGACAACTGTGGCAAAATCCTCCCGATCTTGCCACTATATATGGTATGGTATAATCTATGATAGAGGTCTGTGTCAGCAGTGGACTTTTATAGGATGTAATGGATGACTGGATAAAGTTAAACATTAATTTAAGCTAGTACAGTATTACTTAAGGAATTTTTGATAATGTCCTACTTATATTATTATATACAAGCTGTTCACCGCGACTTCGCCCGCGTGTTATTTGGGGTTTTAATTTTTTTGCGCGGTACCCTAATTCTATTTATAAAATAAAAATAGCTTATGTTACTCCTTGTGACATCAGCTATATGCCAGTGAAAATCCCGTCAAAATCGGTCCAGCCGTTTCGGAGATTAGCCGGAACAAACAGACAGACAGACAGGTAAAAACTTTAAAAATTGTATTTTTGTTATTAGTACTGTATATACTTTCATAGGCATTTAGTAAAAAGCTGTAATTTTGACATTACAAACAAACACTTCAATTTTATTTGTACAGATTACTTAGACAGTTTTGTGGCGCAGTAGCTAGGCGATGAGTTGCGGCGTTAAGCGCGAGTTCGAATTCCGTACGGAACGAGTATTTGTATTGATTAAAAAGAAATTGTTTGGTGTCTGTATGTTTGTCCTTGTGAAATATAAATGTAAACTGCTCCCACGGTACAGGAGAAAATTCGAAAGTGGGGGTAAAGTTAAAAAAAAAATTTTTTAAAATCGTCGTGTGGTTGCGAAGCCAATACTTTCTATACACAACTGTGGTAAATATATCCTTTATGAGACAATCTTTAACGGAGGCTTATGTATACTCACCAGTGCAATTTTCATAAGCTGTAAATAACGAATGAATTAATATTATGTTCAATGTAATTATATTCGTAATTTTACAAGTTGTTCAACAATAGCAAACCATACTGTTGAATAGACTTTTCACATCCAGATAAACACTACTGATGTAAAATAAATATAATATGGTTTCATATATGGAATTATTGACTCAATGATTTAGGTATTACGTATGAATAGCTTGGAATAAAAAATATAATTTTTTACAGAAATAAAATAAAATAATAATTTAAAATTAAAAGTTTTGTACAGTCGACTTAAATATAAATTATTAAAAATAACAAAAAAACGATTTGTCAGACCTTGATTAAATTTATATGGGACCACATGTGAAGCACCAGCTTTCAAAAAAAAAAAGAATCATCGAAATCGGTTCACCCAGTAAACAGTTATGAGGTAACACACAAAAAAACATACAGTTAAATTGAGTACCGTCTTCTTTTTGAAGTCGGTAGAAAACGTAGATGCCTTGTCACCGCTAATATGGAAATGTGCTTAAATTCTGTACACCCACCATACTAAACACAGCGCCATTACGTTGTTATTTTAAACTGGTACTCCGTGGTCTTTGCCCAAACGAGCCTCAACTCATTCATGCCACAACCACGGTAAAACCAGCTGCAAGTTTAGTATGACTCCATTTTACCAGGAGTCCGCCTGGGTATGTACCACCCACATACCTCATATTATACGTGTTCGCGGTACGCTGCAGCTATATTATGATTGTACCACGAATGGGCCAGCTGGACCAGGGTATCACTCTCACAGAAAAACAGTTTAAAATAGCAGCTTAATGCTGCTGTGTTACGTATGGTGAGTGTAGAGAACCGGAGACCCTTTTTACTGCAACACCGAATATAAATTTTAATTCTTAATCAAGGATAAATGTAGATGTCTATGGGCCACAGAATTAACTTACCATCAGGTGGACTGTGTGCTTATTTGTCACTGTTATTCTATAAAAAAAAAAAAACTATTTTCGTCGCCAAGCTGAAGTGTTGAAGTTATCTGCCAGTCTGATCGTTATATAGAGCTAATACAATTACATGCTATGGGGCATAACTTCAACTTAGACCTCAGAAGTGACAGTAGAAAACATTAGAAAGACTTTGTAAATTATTTAAATTACATCACGCCAAGGCAACTATTACATGGATGCTTTGCAAAATAATATTAAAATCAAAACTCTACATTTTATAAAAAAAAATCTTATTATTGCTTATGGAAATGAATAAGCTTAAATAAAGCTTAAAAGAAATTTAACAAATCGTAAAACTTTACGTTTACAGATAACAGCGCAGATAACGCAATGAAATACCTTAGCGCCGGTGTCCTCAACCTTTTCTAAAGTAACCGTTTAAAAACGTAATAATTTTTAACGAGTTGTTTTTTACTCTATCATCCCGCGTCTTCGGAGGGGTCGGTACGAAACGGAACCATTAAATAGAGGAAACATTATTTCCGCTCGTTAAGTCGAGCACTTTGCCATTTGATAAATGCTCACTAGCTTTTATTTTGGATGTTTTGGGGCGAGAAACGACGTAACAGTTGCGCCTGTTAAGTGTAGCGTTTCAATCTTCAGGCGGGTTTAGATTGACTTTATTGCCGTGGCTTATATATACTTTATTATGTTATAATATTCGTAGATGAAATGGAAATTTAAGTGGCTTTGTAGCCTTTTATTTTGAAAGATAAAGTTCTAAAGTATAAAAAAATATAAAAGACTTTAGAAAGTTCTAGAAAAATTTAACATTCACACAAATGTTGGGAGTCAATTGTCAAAATTTATAACCAAAGAAAATCACGTCTATTGAGCTTAGATTTGCAAAATATTTTGAAAACAAAGCTTGCCAGCAAGAAATTCATTTTAAGAAGTGTAAGGCAAAGTTCTTGTGTGTCCCTGCAACTCTGAAGCAACAGATTAAAGCTGATGTTACAAATATAAGTGTGTAACAACTGAAGACGAACATTTTCGGAGGAACTTTTCTCGTATAAGAATTCTGGGTCTTCTCGCTCGAATCTTCACTTTGTTATTCTTTTATTGTGTTTATAATCATAAGTTGCGAGGAGTATGACTTTAGATGGTAATAATTAAATATCTTACAGTATTCATGTAAGTTTTTATGTATATAATATACCTTTTATTTATTTTTATCTACTAATTGTTACGGATCTTTTCTGCAGTCCATCTGGGTTCTTCATCTTAGTGTAACCCTCTTACGTATTTTTACCACCACACAATGGAGTAATTAATTCTGAGTTTATGGTAAAAAGTGTATAAAAGTCTAAATTACACTGCCTGTTGGTAACCTTAAATAATATATTAGTTAAATGTTTATAAACTTGAAATATAAAATGTATTTATTATATTTACGCGAAAGCTACACATTTAAATAAAACTAATTTTACGGATTTTATCGCGTATATTAACTTATTTTATATTCCCGACGATTGAATAGGTCGGAATAAAAATTAATAATTTTAATCTGGATGTAGCCGTGACCATGGGTGCTGTAAAATACTCGAAACATCGGGAAAATAAAATAATATACACAATAAAATCTACACAACTAGTTTTATTTAAATATTAAATGTATTTTACATATTTTTATAATTTGCAACATTTATTTCAATTGTGATTGTAAGAAACGGTCGTCTTTCTTAGTTGTATTTGTGTGCCACATTAAAATTCCACATCAGCGAAGACAATGCATCTGTGGCAAGGGGTATAGCTCATTTACCAACAGATGGACTGTTTGAAACTCTAACATTATAAAAATTTTATATATTAAACAATAATGAAAATGCAGTGTGGGGACGTAGTAAAAGATTCCATCTCTCATATTTTAATTAAAATGCCATTAAAATCTGATGGCTATAACGCCATCTGTAGGAGATGAACCATCTTCTTTACGCCAGTAGTAAAATACCTAAATCAGCGACTAAGCGGCGACATCAAAGGTGTGAGACTTCTGGTACTGCGATCGTCAATCTGCCTGCCAAGGCGCAAACCCTTCATGCAGCGGGAACAGCCCATGTTCATATGCAGGGGACTATGGGCTAATGGAGAAAAGTAAAGCTATATGAAAAGATGGGCTTTTATAATTTTATGTTAGCTTCTTAAGACCAAGACTACGCACACCAACGTAAATTTTTTTTTATAGGATAGGGTAACAAACGAGCACACAGTCCACCTGATGGTAAATGGTTGCTGTGGCCCATAGACATTTACATTTATTCTTAATGAAGTATCAAAATGCAGATGCGTCGTCACCCGTGAGGACTGAGATGGAATGTCTCTTTTCCAGTGAAATGGGTCTCCAGTTCTCTACACTCACCATACGAAACACAGCAGTGTCAAGCTGCCCATTTACGCTGGTGTTCTGTGAGAGCGTGATCCTTCCCCGGTCGAGCCGACCCATTCGTGCTACAACTAAACTACTAATATAGCTGCAGCATCGCTCTACCACGTATAAATTATAATAACATCAAAAATGTTTTGTATCTCTTTTATTTTACGTGCAAATAGAAAAACTAATTTCTCAGTAGATAATCGTCGTAGTTAGTCCACAAGGAGTCGGTAGTGACGTAGAGTTCTGCCACAATATGGTGGTATGAGACAGATTGTATCTTTTACTAAAAACTTTATAGCTTCAGACATTTTAAATTATATCTATAATATAACGAAAAACCTTTGTTGCACAGACATAAAGAAGCAATTTGTGCAACAACCACAATCGGCGACTGTTGAAGCTGGGAGACAGGTCGTCTTCAGGTGTAGCCCACCGCCCGCCGCTCCACCCGCGACCATCAAGTGGACGAGGAATGGAGTCACCATCGAGGCTACAGATGAGGCTTTAGTACTTCCCAAAGTCGGTTTACAGGTGAAATGTTATGATAAAAGTGTCTCCTTTATGCCTAGGACTTTGTCTAGACAGGTACACCGTCTTACCGATTTCTGGAACCAAACAGCAGCGCTTGCATTGAAGGGTTTACAGAGACAGTATAATTTCAACGCATATGGAGCCTTTTTGGTATGAAATTGGCTACAGGTGTTCATGGACTACAGTAACCACTGGCTACAAGCTAGTAACACTATCAGCAGGGACAGACAGGAGGAATTTTATCCCCGGGGAAAGGAGAAAATGTTTACCCTTCAAGTGTGGCCACACCAGTGGATATAATATCCAATGTAGATAAAATGGGAGATAGACTTAGATAGATTTTTTGTATGAATATAAACTTAAACCCACGTCCAATGAACTAGGATAAAATTGTCCCTTTCAAATGTCTAAAAAGCATAATTTTTTATCTTTCATTTGGCTCCATGCTACGGACGGGGGATATATTATGTCTAGTCGTTATGTCAAACGGAGATATACTTCTCCCTACTGCCGTACTTTGGCATAAGGGCAAGATAATTTTATCTCTTGTCAGTGGATATAATCGGGGGATAAGTTTTTTGTCCCTAGCCCATGCTAGCCGTGTTGGTGACCTGTAAGTTCGTGTATCACTTCAGTTTACAAAACACATTCTACCTGATAAGCAGGTACTGTGGCCCATAGACATCTAGATCTATCATCAATCAACAATCAAAATGCAAGTGCTTCGTCACTCCTGAAGACTAAGATGCAATGCTTCGTTACCAGTAACAAGGGTCTTCTAGCTTTCTAGCTTCTAGTCATCCGTAACAGTTCATACGAGATCGTATATCAGCCGTATGGTCTTCAACATAGGTTAGTTTAACGATATCCAGGAGGAAAATGAAGTGCTAGATTTCTTTCTCTTATGCCATTTGGGTTAATGTGGATCATAAGGACTCTGACCTCACTTGTCACTAAAATCTTACAATATTTACTTTTTTGAATCAAATTTTTAAATTAAGAATAACTTGATTGTAAGTAGGAGTACGGTAGTAGGTGTGAGAAGTACCATCATAGTTATACCGTTTTGATGGAAAATTCTCCGAGAACTAAGATGCATGCCTCATTACTAGTAATTGTCTTTTTAGTTGCGGAGCTCACACACGGCGTTAACACATGCATATATTTAAAGTCTGACACAAATGGAATTTTCCGTGTACTGGCGGTGTAAGAATATCCACATCAGCCCATAGAATTTCAGTTTGTGTCATAGACTAATATCAACACAGACTTAGTATCACAGAGTTATAGAGTACAGGACCGTAGCATAGAGTTGGTTAGCTAGTTTAATGTACATTATTTAAAATACATATAAATATTTAATTTAATATAAACTTCGCATAAGTGCTTAGTGATTGATTATAAGTTATAAAATAGGTACTAAATTATGTCTAGCGATTGCTCGCGAGTTGACTAATGTGTTCCGAGAGAATATCGGCGATGCGGGTAACTCTGTTACTGTACTGTCTGCCTGCGTGCAGTCTGAGGTCTAAGGCGGAATGGTTTGTTTGCATTAAAAAGTTCTTCAGTTATCGACGCTCACTATACGTAATACATCAGCATTGTGTTGCTATATCATACTGGTATCCTGAAGATGGTACAGGAAGGTCTGAAGATGTATGAATAATAAACCCGCTGTGCTGCGTGTATATCGACACCCACGGGATAGTAGTGATTAATTTACTACTATCCAGTTGGTATTTGGAAGACTGGAGACTGAAACGGAAGGGTATTAGCATCTTCCTGCTCACCATTCTAATAATGAAAATCGGTGGTTGCCAACCTACATTCTAAGCGTTGCAACTATGGCAAATTTCCCTATGAAACAATCTTTGGGGAGGCCTATGTTCACCAGTGAACTTTTATAGGTTATAGTGAACGTTGTAATAGGTGAATGCATAAAATAAATAATAAACACTGTGCAGGACATAGCCAACTACAGCTGCATAGCAGAAAATATCGCCGGGCGACGCGAGTCCGACGTGGCGGTTTTGTCGGTCTATGGTATGTTTATTGCGTTCTTGTTGTGATTTATAGTGCTCTATGGATTGCTTGCGTGTTTGTCCGTTAGAATGTTCGTGTTGCTGTCTTTCTTACACTGATATATGTAATAATTTTCAGAGTGGGAAATGTAGTTCCTCGTAAACGAAAATAAGTGACTAAAATTATATGTTTTTTTTTATAGAATAAGGGTGACAAACGAGCACACAGTTCACCTGATGGTAAGTGGTTGCTGTGGCCCATAGACATCTACATCTATCATCGTTTACGAATTAAAATGCAAATGCGTTGTCAGACATGAGGACTAAAATAGAATGCCTCTTTTCCAGTAAAAAGGGTGTCCGGTTCTCTACACTCACCATACGAAACACAGCAGCATTAAGCTGCAATTTTACGCTGGTATTCTGTGAGAGCGTGGTCCTTCCCCAGTCGAGCGGACCCATTCGTGCTACAACTATACTATTAATATAGCTGCAGCATGGCTCTACCACGTATAAAAATATTTGCCCATAACACAAGTTCTTGAAAATAAAGTTATATGGAAATATCAACATTCTCCCTGGTGGACGTAAATGGAACTGTATATCTCATGCAATCATTCGATCGTGATAAGAGTTTGATACTATTGCAAACTCATGCTAACTACAATGGTTATTGTATTTTATTTTTCATTGTATAAGAAGAATTACCTAATCTGCAATTACAATATCGCATGCTTGAGATAGGATGAAAGCTTCATATTTAAAAGCGTAATGTGAACGACACTCACTATTGAAATGTAACTTGATACAGTGTATTATACATTTTGCTTTTGTAGAAAAAAAGAAAGGGGTCCATTTGGGGTCCTTAGTATCAAATTGTTGTCCTTTTGTTCCGTTCGTCAGTCCACCTGCCCGTTTATGCACCTTTAGGTAAAATAGACCTTACCTACTTACGACCTAATTGAGGAAGGGCGGCAGGTTTTCTTCTAACTAGGTAACACACATAATTTTATTTAATTACACGAATCTTGGCTAATTATTTTTAAAATCATTAATATATGTTTTTTTTTTATTTGCCGTTACACGATGATTTTCTTTCCAAGTGAACGGCGGTTGGTCGGATTGGTCTGCTTGGACCCCTTGTCGGTGCGGGTCACAGACGAATGGTAAGCGCAGGACTCGAACCTGCACCGAGCCGGCGCCGGCCAACGGCGGCGCGCACTGCAGGGGTCAAGCGGCACAAGGCGACGAAGAGTGTGCAAGGTGTCAAACCGGTAAGGAAAATAATGACTTATAAAATTCCATGTGATTGTAAGTGGCTAGTGGCCACTGTATCGTCCACGGACAACTCCTAGCAAAGAAGGCCACGCTTCCGAGATCTAAGATAAAATTATGCCTCATAGTCATAATATACGATCAGACTGGGAGCTTGGCGGCTAAAATAGTTTTTTTTTTTATAGAATAACGGTGATAAATGAGCACACAGTCCACCTGATGGTAAGTTAATTCTGTGGCCCATAGACTTCTACATTTATCCTTGATTAAGGATGAAAAATTAGATTCGTTGTTCCAGTAAAAAAGGTCTCCGGTTCTTTATACTCACCATACGTAACACAGCAGCATTAAGCTACTATTTTACGCTGTTTTTCTGTGAGAGTGATACGCTGGTTCAGCCGACCTATTCGTGCTACAACCATAATATAGCTGCAGCGTGGCTCGAACACGTATAATATGAGGTATGTGGGTGGTATATAACCAGACGGACTCCTTGTAAAATGGAGTCATACTAAACATGCAGCTGGTTTTACCTTGGTTGTGGCATGAATGAGTCGGCTCGTTTGGAGAAAGACCATGGAGTACCAGCTTAAAATAACAACATAATGACGCTGTGTTTAGTATGGTGGGTGTACAGAATTTAAGAACATTTCCATATTAGTGGTGAAAAGGTATCTACGTTTTCTACCGACTTTAAAAATGAGCCGGTACTCAATTCGACTGTGTGTTTATTTTTATGTGTGTTACCTCGTAACTTCTTACTGGGTGAACCGATTTCCATGATTCTTTTTTTATTTGAAAGCTGGTGCTTTCCACGTGGTCCCATATAAATTGATCTGCAATTCCCCTGGAACGCATCTGCAATTCCCCTGGTGTTGCGGTTGTTCATGGGCGGCGGTAGTCACTTACCATCAGGTGAGCCGCATGCTCGTTTGCCCCCTCTCCTATAAAAAAAAAAAGATCAAGGTTCGACTTCAATATAAATTATTCTTAATAATTTATATTGAAGTCGGTTGTACAAAATTTTTAATTTTAAATTATAATTCTTAGATACCAACTCGATCAAATCTATATAGTAGTAGATGTGTTACAACATACACTTGCCATCAGGTTAATTATGCGCTCGTTTATCACCCTTACTTATATATAAAAACGCCCACAAAATTACATTAAATCAATGTTGAGAACTATCATGTATCGTTATGCATTTAGGTGCAACAAGTTTTTTTTTTTATTCTTTTTTATTTAAGGGACTTTCGTTATTATTAACATGTCAGTCCCATTGTACCTTATAACTAAATAGCACAAAAATACTTAATTACTTATACAATACTTAATAAATGATAAACCATTTGAGCAGCATCTGACAGTGGTTCAGAGAGTATACTTTGATATTCCCCTATGTTGTACATTTTAATGTCAGTTTTGGCGACCAGTAGTTTCCTTTCGTGAGGTGCAACAAGTGTAGCGTTGTAATAGTGGTACTGGTTGTTGCATATTCGGCCGTACGTTACTCACTAGAGGGCGCACTGAAAACCAGCTTCGTGGATAATACCACGAAATATTGCTGAGTGTAGCCCTTTTATACCAAACGCACACACATAATAAAATTTTGATTGTAATGATTTTATTTATGTTTTAATTTTGTTTTGATCTGTAGTTATAAGTTTTTTTAGTGCATAATATCATTTGTAACATGTGTGTTGGTGTTTGATGTAATAAATAATTTTTCTTTCTTTCTTTCTTTCATTTATATTTTTAAAAGCGCCGTTAACTCACGCGTGGGCGTGAGAAACCGCAAATTAAATAAAGGCCGGCATAGACTGGCGTGTCGACGTTGTGGGTGAAGTGTTTACAGCTTTTAACCGCAAGCGAAAACCACTCCTACCCTCATAATAAAAATATTTGTCATACGCAAATAGTGCGTTCACTAGAATGATAGTTATCGTAGGTTCCGTGGCGCAGTGGCTTAGTAGTGAGTTACGGGGCTGAAGGCCACGGGTTCGATCTCACACGGGACTAGTATTTGTATGACCTTGTAAAATTTATGTATGTAAACTGCCTCTACGATACAGGCGAAATCCTATTTACTTTATAGCATAAGGGTGACAAACGAGCACACAGTCCACCTGATGGTAAGTGGTTGCTGCGGCCTATAGACATCTACATCTATCCTCGATTACGAATCAAAATGCAGATGCGATGTCACCCGTGAGGACTAAGATGAAATGCCTCATTTCCAGTAAAAAGGGTCCCCGGTTCTCTACGCTCACCATACGATACACAGCAGCGTTAAGCTGCTATTTTACGCTGCTATTCTGTGAGAGCGTGGTCCTTCCCCGGTCGAGCCGACCCATTCGTACTACAACTATGCTACTAATATATGCGGCATGGCTGTACCACGTAAAAAGGATCTAGTGTAACGTATAAAAAAAACTAAAGTTATATAATTCCTTTTTTAAATATCATATTTTTGAAAATCATTAATCATTATCAACAGCCTTTTCAAGTTCTCTAATATATATATATATATATATATATATATATATATATATATATATATATATATATATATATATATATATATATATATTGCATACTCAGAAAGGGTTATATATATAACCCTTTCTGAGTATGACGGCAAGCAACAATTAACGGTAATACTAGTTATGTCAACAGCACAGTTTTATGAAGTCGGTTTTTGTTTTTTATAAGTATAATTATCACCGCGTAGTGGTGATCTATAGTGGTAACTGTGGCAAATATACCTCCTATGAGACAATCTATAGAGATTAATGAATTACGGTAGAATTTCAACCACTAGGCGACCACTAGTAACAATAAAAAAATAGTTTAGGTATTAATTAATTTCCCTGAAATAATTTATGATAGACATAACCTTTTTAATGATTAATGATGACTGTAGTATAAACTTTTTAAGTATACTGGCAGTATATTAGAACAAAGTGTAACATGTAGATCTGTTAGGGAGCTGGTCAGCCTGGAGTGCATGGTCAGCATGCAGTGCAGAGTGCGCAATGTCACGGCGGAGGCAGTGCACTGGCACTTGCCCCGGCGCCGCGCTGCAGCACGCCGCCTGCAGGGACGGATTGTGCGCAGCCGCCATGCGTAAGTTATGTTGTATGTGGTATGTGCTGTATGCATTATTATGTGTGTCAGGACTAACTGTGCGCAGCCGCTATGCGTAAGTTATGTTGTACGTGTGCAGTGTGCATAATATGTATGTAGTGCGCATATGTGTGCTCAGTGCATATGTGTACAGAATGCATATGTGCAGAGTGCATATGTGTGCAGAGTGCATGTATTTAGAGTGCATATGTATGCAAGTGCATATGTGTGCAGAGTGCATGTATTCAGAGTGCATATGTATGCAAGTGCATATTTGTGCAGAGATGTGTGCAGAGTGCAAGTATTCAGAGTGCATATTTTGTTTGTTTAAAAAAATACTAGTAAAGCTATTAAACATTACTAATATTCCCTATAACCACTTCTGGTAGGCTTAAAACGCTTGTGTTAGAAGTGGTTCACGACAGTAGTCGAATGGCGGATTCGAACCCACGATCTTTCGAGTTCGCGGTTTGTGACCTGCCATTAGGCTACTGACGCTTCATGCAAGTGCATATGTGTGCAGAGTATATGTATTAAGAGTGCATATGTATGCAAGTGCAGAGTGCATATGTGTGAAGAGTGCATAAGTGTGCAGAGTGCATAAGTGTGCAGAGTGCATATGTGTGCAAAGTGCATGTGTGCAAAGTGCATTTGAGTGCAGAGTGCATATGTGTGCAGAGTGCATTTGTGCAGTGTGCTGCAGCACGCCGTATGCCGGGACGGACTGTGTGCCACCGCTAAGTTGTGTAAGTTGTTGTGTGTGCAATAATCGACTATGTAGCCTAGTAATCAGTGTGTATAGGCTACTTAATGTTAGATAAGTTCGTCTACCAATTTTTTTCCAAACACACTGTAGTTAGACAACTACTTGGCGCGGACGAGGTACTCCAGATGTTAGCGGGGAAGGTGGTTTAGTGGGGAAGGGAAAAAGGATGGAATTGGGATTTAATTCCCCGCTAAGCCAGTAGTTTCAGGGATAAAGTTGACAGGTTTCCACTTAAACCTTGGTATATTATATTTTGTATTAAACAATAGATAGAAAAATAAATATAGTTTCAGGCTTCAGTCTATTTCATAATATTGAGAACTCCATTTATTTTTAGGGATATATAAAAGCAATGTGACCCTTTACGTGGGTGTTGGGATCACGATAGCGATGTTGGCTGCTGGAGCAGCTGTGCTGTACGTGTGGTGTAAATTCAGAAGTGTTAGACCAGGATACACTGCTGCAAGGGCAGGTAAATTTGTCTTCCTTTTCTTACAGTTGTATTCCCATATCTGCTGTCTCTTTCAGACATTTCTTTAGTGCTTTCTTTTCTTTTTATGTCTCTTGGTATCATGTTCGCTTTTTTAAACAAGTTAAAGTGACGCACTAGCGCAAAATGCACCTTATGATAAGTAAAAGTTGTAGCCCATAATCATCTACACATATTCTAGATTAAGAATTAAGCTAGTATAGTGTTGTCCCACCTGAGAACTAAGATGAGACGCCTCGTCACCTAAAGGGGCCCCGATTCTTCTCATTCACCATACGAAACACAGCACTATGCTTCTATTTTACGCTGGTAGTGAAAGCGTAATCCTTCCCCTGTAGTGCCTTCCCATTCGCGCTACAACTATAATATAGCTGCAGCGTGGCTCTTTTAAGTCCATGTGTCTTACCTATCGATTAGAGACTCATGTTTATAAGATTGCCTGTTTTAATGATTGAAGTACGACATGTTTGTTTTAATAACCCGTTCATATTTGTTCCGTAGTGATGCCGTAAGATAATATATTACCACATTGTGTCCGTAAGAGGCGTCTATGGGAAATGTCAGTAAAATTGGTTTTACGTGGTATAGCCACGCTGCAGCTATATTGTGATTGTAGCACGAATGGGTCAGCTCGACCGGGGAACGACAGCGCTCTCACAGAATACCAACGTTAAATAGCAGCTCAATGTTGCTGCATTTCGTGTGGTGATTGTAGAGAACCGGAGACCCTTTTCATTGGAAACCAGTCATTCCATCTTAATTCTGAGTGGTGACAACGTATCTGCATCTTGATTCTTAATCGAGCATAAACGTAGATGTGGTATCTTTGAGCCACAGTATCCACTTACCATCACGTGGACTGTGTGCTTGTTTACACAAATATACGCATTTTATTTAATCTTTGACTGTCTCTTGAAAATCACTTACACAATAGTTGACATTAAAAAAAATCTAGGCTTTATTTTAATAGCAACGTTATTGTCACGGTCTTAGTACATCCAGGTGCGCCTAAAACGTATTCGGGGCGGGATAAGAGCAACGCTGGGCCGGACTTGACGAGGACCTGCAACGAATACTGGATGCAAAGGCCTGATAACCACTACGACCTGCCACAGTTGAGAGACAGGTGACCAATTTCTAATATAATACAATATATAAACAAACCTATCTGAATGAATTCGTCCTTGAATCCGCAAAGGGGTGAACCTCAATTTTTCAAAAAATTACGGGACATCAAGAAAACATTTACTATTCCCCGATTACCTTGAGGTTTGCCCCTTTGCGACGTCAATGACTAATTATTGTACTGTGTTTTTTAAGAAATAAGGTCTAAAATTATGCAGCAGATATTTTACATATTTAAAAATGTGTGTGAGAAAGGCAAAATGATCTAAAAATTCATCATACTTTCTTAACCTTTAAAGTAACCTCGTTAGTCGTGAGGTGAGGTGCGGGGATAATCAATGATACGACAGCTTTGAGTGACGGCCTGTTTATTACTGAACCCAACTTACATTCGATATTGATTTATATTAACCGTCTTACTCCACTACACCTACGGGGCTAAAATAAAAAAAAATACAATCGAAGATTATTTTTTTTTAAGTTGAAATAGGAACTTAAACTTATATAAGTATACTCATTAAATTTTAACAAGCTTTCACGTGCATCATTTTGTGCAACTTGTAATCGATACTTTAATTCCAAGTTATAGTCATCATTATACAATGGTTCTATACTACTACTTATTCTACAAGGAAGTTCACTTGGTTTACCAAAGACAAGTTCGTAAGGCGTATATTTCGTTGAAGAATGCACCCTGCGACCCTGCCATAATTCTTATTTAGGACTAAACGTTTGTATTTTTAACCAACTTCAAAAAGGTGGAGGTACTCAATTCGACTATATGTTTTTTAATGTGTATTACGTCATAACTTTCGTCTTCTTTCTAGGTGATCCGATTTGATAATTTTTTTTTTATTTGAAAGCTGGTACTTCTCATGTAGTCCCATTTAAATTTGATAAAGGTTTGACCGGTAGTTTTTGTGTTATCTATACAAATAAATAAAATTGAAGTGTCTGTTTGTAATGTCAAAATTTCAGCTTTTTTCTAAATGCATATGAAAGTATATACGGTACTAATAACAAAAATACAATTTTTAAAGTTTTTGTCTGTTTGTCTGTCTGTTTGTTCCGGCTAATCTAAGAAAAAGCTGGACAGATTTTGACGGGATTTTCACTGGCAGATAGCTGATGTCACAAGGAGTAACTTTTTATTTTAGAAAAAGAATTAGGGTTCCGCGCAAAAAAATTAAAACCCCAAATAACACGCGGACGAAGTCGCGGGGAACAGCTAGTCTTTAATAATTTATATTGAAGTCGGTTCTACAAAATTTTTAATTTTACCAATTTTACACTTGTTAATTGCATTTTGTATAGTAAATTGAAGTCACCTACGTGAAATAGGTGTTACACCCCGTGGTATTAACATAAATATACTGTTATTTAATTACGGAACCGAAACCGAGACATGCTCTTCATACGAAAAAAAAAACGATTTTTATGGGCAATACTACACAAAATTAAATTACATTCTTTTTTCAAATAAGTATACCATATTAAAGATTGTTTCTATTATTATTTTTAACCATTAATTTATAATCATTATTATTCTCTGTGTAAGTCGGTTTTATTTTAAATGCTTACTTTTAACAACTCTATTCTTTCCCTTTTTGATGTGTTGTTACCATCAGCTTCCGTCAACCGGGCGGACAACTGACATAACTCGCTATTAATATAGTGATCTATGTTCTAGCAGTTTGTTTGTGAGTCCGTTTGTTCTTGTTTCGGAAGGCCGGCTTTATTCCTTGTTTATTAGCATACGCATCCGTTTCTTTCATTTTGACGTTCACTTTTACGCATCGGGAAGTTGTAATACGTTGTTTTACAAGGCGTGTTATGTAACTTGTCACCGTTGTCCAAATATTTTTTTTCGGAATTAGATTTTTCTTCAACAGCAAAGACGTCAAACTGGCCAGTCTTTCTGATAGTAAGTGAATGTTGCTTCCCATAGACACTTATATCCTCAATTAAAAATAAAAAGCTGATAATGTTACCCATGAGGAGTAAGACGAATACCTATCCATCAATCCACGGCTGAACATAGATAGCCTCATAAGGGGGATATCTGCCATAGTGGCCACGGTTGGCAGGCGGGTTGGCAACTTTATTTTTTTATTTTCTAGGTGTTATTAGGCAGTATCTTCAAGTTTGTTTGCCTCTGTCGCCTCTTACGACAACCACGGAACGGTAAAGCCTTCAAATATTACTTACTAGGCCGCTACACGGTATAGCGAAAAAGTGTTTTGTTGTAGAGAACGCTGAGCCTATCCTTCTTTATATCATATCATAAGATCGATGGTAGGAGTAGGGTAGGAAACAGTCAAACATATCTCGGAAACCAACAACGTGGGATTTCTGTCGAATTGTTTAATCTGGTTGGTATTCGAACCCTGAAAGCGATCTTAGTTACTATAGTCCGTGCGCAACTAGTTGGCCGCGCCTTGGGTATGTGAGTGGCGGGACGGGAGAGCGGGACTCTAGCTGTTATTACTCAGTACGTCATAATTTTCATTTATTAAACAACCCCCGCCTCACCCCTCGCCACCTAAGGCGCGGCCAACTAGGAGCGCGCGGACTATAGTTACAATGTTTTTTATAATTTTATATTTTAAATTTAATTCTTTTTGTGGAAGAGGAGGTATGAGAGCATATGACTCACCTGGTGGTAAGTGATCACCGTCACTCATGAACATCTGCAACACCAGGAGTATTGCAGGCGCGTTGCCGGCATATAAGAAAGCGGTAGGCTCTTTTCTTGAAGGCCCCAAGTCGTATTAGTTCGGAAAACCGCTGGCGACAGTAAATCCCGCAGAGTGGTATACGGGGCAGAAAATTCCGCGTAAATCGCATGCGAGTTCTGTCGCAGTGTACGATGGTGGTATTCAGCATCTGCAATTAATCTGAACGGTTCTTCTGAGCACTTCCCGTGGTACATATGATAGAAGATGCACAGAGATGCAACGTATCTTCGCAAAGCCAATCGGAAAGGACTTGGTCGTTGACGCTTCGAGCCGTTCCGCACTCGTTAGTCTGTCTTCGATGTTATAACTAAGCGCTATATTTTTTTAATTGAGGAGGGGGCAAACGAGCATGCGGCTCACCTGATGGTAAGTGAGGTTGTGTGACATCAGGTTGTGCCTCTACAGTACGTTGAGTGATTATTCCTTTGTTATTGTCCTCACGTGATATCTTTTGTATAATAAGTAGCTCAAGAAAAAAGTAATTTAAATAGAAAAAAAATTATATCAAAATTAATTTCTAAAATTTGTAGCGCTATAAATTAATTCCTACTTTAGTTATTCCTCACCGTTTGGCAACCGAAGTCGCCAGCAGTCGTCTCTGGGCAGCAACCACTACGAGATGAAGCCGTACAGTCCGTCAGGCGACTCGGCCTCGAGCTGTTATACCAATTGTAAGTATTATTGTCTCTTTGATATCACGCAGTTCTGAATTGAAGCAAAAAGGTTACCGTTGCTTTTAATTTAGCGTATGTTTATTAGAGTGAGTAGAGACCGGGTAAGAGATGCAGCGAGTCGAATGTTGCTAGTGGCTTATGTCCAGCCATGGACTTCTGAAGAGATGTAGTAACGATGTTTGGTACATTATGCACAACGGACATATTTTTTTTGATTAAATAACTAAATTATAAAAATAAAATTGAGACGACATCCGCCATTTTTGTTGTCATTGTTTTCACTGCAAATTTCCCACTGCAAAGTCGGTTTTGTATAGTACTCTAATTTGTATAGTAATCTAATATTTGTATAGGCTCTAATTAATTAATTAATTTTTTCTTTTTTTTTATAAACATGTTACCTTCTACACTAGGATTTTCTCCTGCACCGTGGAGGCAGTTTACAAACAAATTACACAAGGACAAACATCCAGAGACCCGGAACAATTATTTGTACTGAAGGGTTGATTCTTTATTAATGATTTAATAAAATTATTTTTTAGGATTTTATCCCGTTTAATTTACTTATTTTTAATTCCGAAATAATGCCCGATAAAATCCTTAAAATAGTTTTATTCAATGTGTAGTATTCGCGTAAATATGTATAAGAAATCATTATCTTTATTAATAAGCTTATTCACAACATGAAGGTTATGTATTCTTAAACTTAATTACAATATAAAGTTCTCAAATCTAATGATAAATTTGCAATCAGTGTGTTTTACAATAATTTCATTCTCAGCAAGGACTATGACGTCACGATCCAGTGAGTGCTCGTCGTCGCAGCTCGCGGAGCTCGTGACGGCATCACCCATCTCCCATTCCAAAGTGGACGTCGCAGTTACCTTACCCACCGGTTCCCTAGAAACGAGCTATAGAGATAAGATATGTCTAACTATTGTAAAATAAGCATTTACATTGAATAGGATGCGTGTTCTAAGTTAAAGTTGTTGTTGTTTTTATTGCATTTAGGCCTAGAATTAGGGTTGTCAAATCGGTAATTAATTCGTTTCTTTTTGCAGTTTTTATTGCGCTCAATTAAGTTATTTTATATTCCCGACGTTTCTAGTATTTTACATTCGGAAATATAAAATAAGTTACTAAAATGGGATATAATCTGTGAAAAAAAATTTAGTTTCATGTGTAGTGTTCCCGTAAATATAAAAAGTTATTATTAAAAAATCTTATTTCGAAACAAAAAATAAAATTTCATAACATTATTTCATGTAAACTATGGTAATTTGTATATGACATAATATTACATTACATTACAACTATTATTAATACAATTATTGCACTGTGTGCAACAAATAGGTATCCAAATAAACTTTATGCCGTAGTAGTATAGCAGCAGTACTCATAAAAACCGGTGTTCCTATCAAAACTTCACGAACAGACACCGGTCGTTATATTATATAGGTTATTTATGATATTTATGTATAAATGAATATTTGACAATATATACAATTGAAAAATTTATAAACAGAACATAGAGATTACATTTTTTTAATTTAATTATGTAACTTTGTTCTTTTCCAAAAAGAGCGAGTGAAAGAAACATTACTTTTCTTTCTATTAAAAAATGTATGTTCTACGCTTAAAGCCTAACGTGATACCATTCTTAATACTGTTGTATTTGTGAAAATTTTGAAAAGAAAAGTTGGCAGCCCTAGCGGCCACTCGATTATTAAATACTAATCATGTGCTATTACGAATAATCGGTTTTTATTCGAAATGACAACTCATTGTAACTTTGTTTATAAAATAAATTCGATTTAAATTTGAATCGATATTGGATGTAGGAAAAATATATGTATACAGAGGCATGTGTTTAGGTTTATTATTTTAAAATAATATAATATATAAAATGTGGGTCTTGTTTACCGTTTAAGGACTACTTTCATAGCATGCAGTGTGGCGTGCTAGGTATGTGGCAAACGACTCTAGCAACCTTTACCTCGGACACTGCGTATACGTGTGTTTGTCACACACGTTACATGCACGCGCAGAACGAGCATTGAGGCATACTCTAAGGATAAGTGTAAAGATCTGTTCAGATTACGCTATACTCTTCTGCCATATTTTTTTTATAGGATAAGGGTGACAAACGAGGACACAGTCCACTTGATGGTAAGTGGTCGCTGTGGCCCATAGACATCTACATCTATCTTCGATTAAGAGTCAAAATGCAGATGCGTTGTCACCCGTGAGGACTAAGATGGAATGCCTCGTTTCCAGTAAAAAGGGTCTCCGGGTCTCTACACTCACCATACGAAACACAGCAGCGTTAAGCTGCTATTTTACGCTGGTATTCTGTGAGAGCGTGGTCCTTCCCCGGTCGAGCCGACCCATTCGTGCTACTACCATAATATAGATGCAGCATGGCTCTACCACGTATATAACAGCATATATATTACAGCATATTGCGTTAAAAGCTATAACTATATGGCATGGCGTTCACACTACGCTATTTTTTAAACACGAAAAACTGAAATATTAAAAAAAAATTTGCGTCAGCGCAGATCATAATTTTTTTTTCTTACAACGGATTATAGCTGGTCGTATCGTCCATTTTTGGATGAGGGAGAAGTGAAGGCGTACGATATAGCATATAGTTTTGAAAAATCGCTCACGTTTATCGCTTACAGCAAGCCAATATAGCCAGTATATATACGTTCCACTGCTGGGCACAGGCCTCCTCTCATTTCTAAGAAGGTTTTAGGGCGAGTAAAATGTCCGCCGCGCTGCTACAATACGTGATGGCGAACTTCTAATTCTTATACTTTATATTCAATAGTATGAACGTATCTATACAAAATTAATGTTGAGCGATATTGTTGTGATGTATAATATTTGCTATGTATTATAAATTATAGCGTAATCTGAATTTAAGACCTCAGCAGAGGGTGTTCAGCGGGGCGGGCGGCGTCGTCACCAACACACGCTGTGTCTTTGCAATGGCGGCCTGTCAAATTATATGAGAAACGTACCGAACGCTCGCCTCCCCGAACGAGTCTCTAGCTAGAGTTTCGTTCTACACACACCAATCAACAAATTAAAATCTACATAAAATCAAAGACTTCTTCAGTATACAGTACTACTAGACAGGCAATTCAGAACAAGAAACTGTGTCACAACTGTAAAACGTGCGGGCGCGTGCGCGGGCTTGTAGCGGTCACGGTGTCGCATATTCATTTTACAACTGTTACTGTTCTTAGACAAATCTATATCTATACAAATAAATAAAATTGAAGTGTCTGTTTGTAATGTCAAAATTACAGTTTTTTTACTAAATGCATATGAAAGTATATACGGCACTAATAACAAAAATACAATTTTTAAAGTTTTCATCTGTCTATTTGTTCTGGCTAATCTCCGAAACGGCTGGACCGATTTCGACGGGATTTTCACTGGCAGATAGCTGATGTCACAAGGAGTAACTTAGGCTACTTTTATTTTAGAAAAAGAATTAGGATTCCGCGCAAGAAAATTAAAACCCCAAATAACACGCGGGCGAAGTCGCGGGGAACAGCTAGTACGAAATAAAGTTACATACTCATCTATACAAATAAATAAAATTAAAGTGTTTGTTTGTAATGTTAATATAACAGGTTTTTATAAAATGTATATGAAAGTATATACGGTACTAATAACAAAAAAAAAATTCAAAATTTTTGTCTGTCTGTCTGTATGTTTGGTCCGGCTAATCTCCTAAACGGCTGTACCGATTTTGACGGGACTTCCACTGCAGATAGCTGATGTTATAAGGAGTAACTTAAGATACTTTTATTTTAGAAAAATAATTAGGTTTCCTGCAAAAAAATTAAAACCCATGCAATCGTAGTAAATTCCACTGTAATAAACTTCAAATCACGTTGACAAAATGCACATATATATAATGACGACGTTTTCTTACTCATATTAAACAAAATCAGTGTTAGAGTAATAGATTGTCGAAGACAACGTTCGCGGTTAACAAAACAATGAACTAGTCTTTTCGCCAGCTCGCAATCTAAATGATTTACGGAGAATTGACCATAACTTGGTGCGCAATTTATTAAGGCAGAGCCCGTCTATACAAAGAAGTCTTTGAATAAAATAGTTATATCAACAATAATAATACCAACTACGATCTAAACGGCGACGAGCTTTCAGTATTTATTGGTACAGATCGGCTGGTATGGGAGACATATTTTGTTATATTACTTATTATGAAGTTATTTTCCTTCGGCCATGGATAACGAGACTATTGTCGATATCAACAAAATATAGGGATCGAAAGATTTACATAGGTAAATTGTTAGGTTAGCAAACTCCAGCAGGAGACGAGGAATTTGCATTAAATTTTTATTTGTCATAAGGTTTTTGAAGCCATCAAGTTTTTTTTTCTGGGATAGGACTCGTACGAGTGTACTTTCGCCAGTGTCAAGTAATTTAAATTATCTTTTACAATAATGTATTAATAAAATTATTCACCAAAAATCTCGAACACAGTTGAGGTTTATACTTTCATCGATACACTTGTTTAATCGTATGCACAAATAGTTTAAACTGCAGACGTTTCATATTTTATACACAAATCACTGCATTTTTACGTAACAAAGAACTTTAAGCCGTTAAATAACAAACTATAGCAGCAATCCGCTTGCGGATAAGTTTCCGCCAAAAGCCTCTTTTCATTGTGCCGCCTTTTTGTATACTTTGTTCATAAACTTTTTGTATGCTAAGTGTTGTAATAAAACGACAAAAAGAGCTGTAATCTAATTAAATTACTAGACTTTTTAGACTATTTAATATATATATAAACTATATAATGTAATTATTTTAAAATTATTTATCGTTCCTTTAGGACTTGCAAATTTGTATTTTAATGTAAATGTTTCATTTTAGAACGTTAACAATTTAAATTATAAGGATTACTTTATATTGCTGTTTGTTACGGAAGCTTTACGGCTATTTCTGGAAAAATCGTCACCTCACTTTCTGTCGAAGACTGAATCTAATTCATTACAATTAAATAAAATTGTACGCATTTTATAAACTGCCAATTTATAGGTATTATAAATGTTATAAATTGTAGTGATTGTAAATAAATATTGTAATTTTTAAACTGTGATATTTTATTAAACAATAAATATGTACAATTGAATTGGTTTTATTTATTCAAATTTGTTAAATAAAACCCTAATAAATTAAGTTAAAGAATATTAATAATAATAATAATGTCCTCCAGACCGAATTTCGGTCACGGCGGCCAATCTCAGCTGAGACTAGCCATCGGCGCAGGACAAGATTATAGTGCCCGAGTGTATGCGCAAGCACAGGTGCACTCTCTATTTCCTCATTCTCATAGTCCGATCGGTGGGTAAACCGACACGACCAGAGAGAGATCAGGTGCAGGACCAACGGCTTTACGTGTTTTCCGAGGCACGGGGGTCAGACACCGCGAACTTCCTGACTCCGGGCAGCTACTGAGAATTTGTTGATGGAAAAACTCAATACCTGATTTTTTTGGCCCGACCCGGGATTCGAGCCCGGGACCTTATGATCAGCAGTCGCACTACTACAACCACAAGACCAACGAGGCGGTTAAAAGAATATTACTAATATACCAAACAAATTGGTAATATTTATTTGGCTGATAACTCAGCGCGTAAGCTAAGATCAATTAGTCAAAATTTCTCGTATGGGAAGGTCGTGATAGGCATGATTAAGTACCTTTATATTGTTACCATTACCGTTACCGTTACAGTCTATTTAAGTTCACTGCTGAACATAGGCCTCGCATAGATTACCTCATAGTGGGAATATTTGCCATAGTTTTCATGCTTGGCAGGCGGGTTGCCAACCGCAGTTTTTTACTTTTTAGTTGTTATTAGGAAGACGCTGCTCCCCTCCTGCTTGCTTTC